TTGTATGGCTGAGCTACAGCCCCAGCTCTGAACTAGGACTCCCGCATCCAGATAGGTGTATGGCTGAGCTACAGCCCCAGCTCTTTCCTTTCTCTTCTTAAGGTGAATGCTTTTCTATACAGCAGTTATTTTATTTACTTCCCCCCTCCCAAAACAGTCTCATGGTGTAGTGCTGTCTGTCCTGGAACTTATTCTGTAGACCAGGCTGGTCTTGATACTTCTGCCTCTGCCTCCTGAGTGCTGGAATTAAAGACGTGTACCACTACTGCCCAGCTGTACAGCAGTTATGTAAAAAATTTCTTTCCTAGTCTCGGATCCCTGACCTAAAACCTTTTCCCCCATTTTGGATTGTACTCTTGTATCAGTTCAATATTAACCTTCTCGTTCACCATTATTTGCAAAGCCTGAATTCTTTATTCTGTGTTGGAGGAGACTAAAAATTTGGTCAAGAACTATCATGAATTTTTGGTGGATAACCAGATTAACTGAGCCAAGTTCCAAAGTTCATTGGCAGAAAACTCTAGAAGAAAACCATTGGCAAAAGGCAAAACAAATTTGTCATATGTGATATTATAGAATAATTGAGGTTTAGTTAAAGTACAAAGACCTCTAGTATTGAGTCAGAAGTGGGAAATGCTCTTCAAAATATGAACAATAATGCCAGAGAAAGTTATTTTCCCCCAAATGTTGTATAATGCAGTCCTCTGAGTAAAACAGCCACCATCTTCAACAGACTAGCGGTTATCTGTTTGCAAGAGTTTCTCACCCTTCATTGAACCTGTTGACTGTTGATGAACCCTTATAAAAGAAGGGGGCCTCATCAGATTTCACCAGCTTCTGCCAGGCATGGTACACAGTACATGTGGTTGTCTGGGGAACAGGGTGTCTCTGGAGGTACAGTATATATGTGAGGAAGGGTAACTGAAGTGGGGGCTCCATCTGGAGTATGGGAAAGCTGTCATCCATAATGAGTCAAGGCTCTGCAGTGCAGCTTCTTTGAGTAACCCCAGTAAATTCATTGGTTTTCCAGGATGAACGCTGCAGGAATCATACTTTGGTCTGTGTTGGGATCTTATAATGAGGTAGACCAAAACATTTTTTTTGTTTTTTTGAGACAGGGTTTCTCTGTAGCTTTGGAGCCTGTCCTGGAACTTGCTCTGTAGATCAACTCTCGAACTCACAGAGATCTGCGCGCCTCTGCCTCCCCAGTGCTGAGATTAAAAGCGTGTGCCACCACCGCCCGGCCAACATTTTGGTTTTCATTGCACTTTTAAATAACTGGTTATATATAGTTTTAAAGATGAACATCTACAATAAACAGATTATTAATTATACTTTAAATTACTTTAAGGGAACATGACAAGATCTTCCACTGTACCTGAAGTCAATCTTACCTAGAGCTCTTGATCTTCCTGTTTCAGTCTACTGAGTTCTAGGATTATGGTTCCATGCATATCTATCTATCTATCTATCTATCTATCTATCTATCTATCTATCTATCATCTACCTATCTATCTATGTATCTATCTATCTATATGTTTGTGTGTATAACAAAGATTCAAGGAGAAAGACCACCAACCCAAATCATCATGGCAAAATTAATTAAAGCAACGTTTTTAAATTTGTGTATATGAACTGCCTCCCCCCAAAGTAGGGTTCAAGAGGTCAGCACGAGATAGGAGGAAGACAAAGTTTTTATAGCTCAGGGGTAGGGGGTTTCCTAATCTGGGATTTGGCAGGCAAAGTAGGCAAGGTTACAGAGTAGAACATAAGTATAACAAGGTAGTCATAAAGGACCTCCTGAAACAAAGGCATAATTGCAAGGTGGTCCTAAGGTGGTTGTGCTAGTTAGAGTTTAGAGTTTCTATTGTTGTGAAGAGACAATGGTGTCTTGTCACCACAGAAACTCTTTCAAAGGAAAACATTTCATTGAGGTGGCAGTTTAGAGTTTCAGAGATGCAGCCCATTATCATTATGGCATGTGGCACGCAGGCAGACATGGTGCTGGAGAAACTGAGAGTTCTACATCTTGATCCAGCCAGCAGAAGCAACTGTGACAATGTGCATAGCTTGAGCATAGGCAGTCTCTAGCCCACCCCTACAGTGACAGACTTCCACTTCTTCCAACAAGGACATACCTACTCCCACAAGCCACACTTAATAGTGTCACTCTCTATGGGTAACATTTTCTTCCAAACCACCATAGTGGTCATAACAATAGGTAGTCATAACTGTTTTAAACAAAGGTAGGGTTGCAAGATGGTTATAAATAACTTTTTGAAACAAAGACATGGTTATCATTCCTGGAACAGGCAGTATAGGACTATGTGTAGTTAAGATTACAGGTGGGACAAAGCACATTCTTGAGAAACAGAGCTTTGATCATAAATGGGAATGAGCCTAGCTTGTCTTTTACTATACGATGGCTTTGAAGTCTAAGATGGAGACAGGCTGGTTCATCAAAATAATTCCTGGTTTCAAATTACTTCTTTACCAAAGGTAAGTACATATGATTTCATATGGTCTGACATGAGTTTTTATGCTCTTATTATAGCTAATGGAGCAGAACACATTACTAAGAAGGTTTATTTTGTAAGAATGGTTGTGTGTGTGTGTGTGTGTGTGTGTGTGTGTATGCATGTGCCGGTGTGAACTCAGTGAAAATAAACTGAAAGGAAACCTCACTTTAAAATGATGCAGGTCGAAGAAACCCAGGCTAACTCCAAAATAAACGAATTATATTTTTTTATTATAAGGGACAAACTCATGAAACAGGAACGAGAAGTCCAACCTCAGTTGTATAGCACGGAAACCAAAGGGAGAGAGAACCTTGGGCGGCCCAGCATTTTTCTTATGGTACCCAAAAGGTCATGCCCTAACCTGGTCCCACCTCTTAAAGATCATTAGCTGACAAACATTCCCCATCACAACCCCTTTTGTCTAAATAAGAGAGTTTCAAACCCAATGCAAAACTATACACACTAGGAATAGATATCAAGTATAAAATTAGGATTACAACCAGCATGAACAATATTAAGCAAGGAACACATGCTAAATGTTTTAATAAACATTTTATTTTAAAGAGTCTAAGTCTTGTATCAGAAATGGCTTGGCTAAATCATAAGGGGAAGGCAACTATGACTATCTAATCTTTAACTTCATCGAAGGCATGAGAAGAGGGATAATATTACTTAAGTAGGCAGGAAGTTCAATCAAGCAGCTTCCAAAGTGTGTAGTATATGACAGACAACTGGCTACCAGAGTAATCAAAGTCTCATTTGCAATGTTGAAGCTACCAACTTTGGCTGACAAACCATTTTTAGAGGCAGGAAAATTTTTAGAACTGTCTTACCCTGTCTTGGTAAGGTTTGGCAGTCTTTTTCTTCTGTCCTGTTTATCTAGTCTGGACATCATGTACTTTGTCAGTGGTCAAGGCATGGGCAGTTCCTTACCCAAAGACCAATTGTGCCAAGAAGAAAACAAACTCCAAGTGGAGTATCTTTGGTGCTCAATAGTTTTTTGGGGAATATATTGGTGCTGTCAGGAGCAATCGTGTCTCACATCACTTCATGGTTCTATAATTTTATAGTGAAGAAAACTTTATTGAGCCATTTCCTACATGCCATTAAAGCATAAATCAGGAGGCTGGACATGGAAGCTCAGTATTTAGGAGGTGGAGACAGGAGAATTGGGAGTTCAAGGTCATTCTAAACTACAAAGAAAATGAGAGGCCTGGGTTACTGAAATTCTGTCTCAGAAACCCAAAACTCTTGGCCCTTTGGACATTTCTAAAAGCCATAGCCTGTCTGAATATCATCTTCAGTAAATTTAGTGGAAACTACAGTTTTGTTTAGGCTCTTAGCTTCTCGGACATAAGAACATTGGTAAAGAAAGGGTAAATCCCGTTCTCTGGTGTAGTTTTCAGGTAAGAAGAATGGTCATTTAATCCTTTTCTTTACGTTAATGTCCCCCCACCCACCCCCACCCCGCTGTCCTGGAACTCACTCTTTGTAAACCAGGCTAGCCTTGATCGAACTCGAAGAGATCCACTTGCCTCTGCCTCCCAAGTGCTTGGATTAAATGGGATTATAGGCATGTGCCACCACTGCAGGGTTTAATGGCCACTATTAAAGAAAGATCAAAGGATTAACTCCCACAGAAAATGATGGAAATACTGGAGCAAACCCCTCACCTTTTGGGGCCTTGGGTGAGTTTAAAGGGGTTTTACAAATTTATTATAGTTCTCATTTATGTGTGTGTGTGTGTGTGTGTGTGTGTATCATGACTAGAATATGTGATCCACAGATTGGACATTGTTTAGAGAAAGTGTAAACAACATAGTATAATTTTAGGATAAAGTGTTCTGCCTGCCATAGTCCCTTCAGCGGGCAGTTAGCAGGCAGGCAGTAGAGAGGCATCCTCAGCAGGGCTGGCCCAGGGGTTGACTTCGTCCCCAACCAGTCTACAGCTCCTCTTTCCCGAGTATAGCAGTGAGAAATGTATTACACTTTCAGGAAGTCGCGTTTGCAGGCTGTGGAGGTGCTCAGATCTTACAGTGCTTGCTGCTTGTACATATGCCACGGCTGGCATGTGGCAGTCAGAAGACAGCTCTATGACAATGTGGCTTCCAGGGATCGAACTTCTACCCTCCGTCCCATCTCCAGGGCCGGAGACGAGCACGAGGACCAGCCGTCACCAACAGGGGGCGCCGCCACCGCCCCGAAGGGCGCCCACCCGCGGAGTCTCGCACGCTAGGCCTCCCAGCGCGCCTGCGCCGAGTGTGGACTCCGGCTCGCCTTTCCCCGACGCCCGGCTGCCTCGGCCCGGGTGAAAACTGCGTGACACGCAGAGAGCGTAGCGGCCATCTTCGTCTTCTGGGCACGTCAGCTGAGCGGGTTTGGGCTGAAGAGAAGCGCTGCGCAAGCGCACCCACGACGGCCCCAGGTAACTCCCATCTGACCGGAGAGGCGTCGCCGCCGCCGCCGCCGCCGCCGGAAGTTTGGTGTTTGTGCCGCGGGCGGCGACGGTCGCGGCAGAAGCAGCTGAGTGTCTCCGGGTACCCGGATGTGAGCGCCCGCGGGCTCCGGGCGGACGCCGGCCGTGCAGCTGGGAGGTAGGTGAGCATCCCCACGGCCCTCGCCACCCTCGCCCGCCGCCCTTCCGTCGCGCCCTCGCTATCGCGCCCCGCACACCTCTTCCTCGTGGGTCCCGGCTGCTAGCACCCCAGGAACCAGCGGAAAGGCTCGCAGCCGCGGGCGCCTGAGGTGGGCGGTCGCGCGTCACCTGCCGCTGCTTGCCGGCTGTCAGAGTCGCTGAGGAGTCGGGGTCCTCGGACGGCCGGAGGTGGCTGCAGCCATGGCGACTGCCGGCAGCCTGCGCTCCGAGTTCGCAGGTAGCCGGGGCCTGGTCTCCGCCCCCGGCCTCCCGTCCTCCTTCAGTCCGTCCGTCTTTCCGCCGTCGCTCTTCAGCCTCCTGCGGCAGCGGTGCTGCGGCTCGGGCGCCTCCCGCTGACCCGGCCTGAACCCTGAGGCCCTGCAGCCTCCGGCAGGATGTGGGGGATCCTGACTCCCGCGTCTTCATCTTGGGAGGGGAGCGATGGCCCTGTTCCCCATCTCGGGAAATAATGCAACCTAGAGATGGCCGAAGCACAGGTAGGGTCCTTCGAGGACCCCATGAAGTTTTGCATCGGTGGAGAGGTGTGAGCGGAAGTGAATTGGATATTAGATTTTGATCGCGCTCGTCAGATTATAACGAGGGTTTGTTTTGCACCGGCAGAGTAGCCTGTGTCACCAGAAGTCCAAAAATCGGATCCCCACACCTCACCTCCAAATGGTGCGTTGTGCAAATGGGACGGGTATAGAATTTTGTAGGGGGTGGCGGTAGGCGAGTGACTGGGAAAGTACAGGAAGATTTAGGAAGTACTGTAGTCTTAGCAGAAACGAGTTTCTTGTGTAGCAAGAAGCAGTGGCACCATGCAGTCCCTAAATGGTATTACAAAACAACTTTTTTTTTTCTTTCCCGTTTTCAAAACTCACCATGTAGTTCAGGCTGACCTGAAACTCAGATCCATCTGCCTCTGCCTCCCTAGTGCTAGGAATAAAGGCGGTCACCACTGCACCAGGCACAAAACAGCATATTATTTGGTGAAATAATGAGATGTGACCTGATGCTCCTCTCCCAATCTAAACAATTTTTAAAAAGTAGAAATGAGGGCCGAGGGGATGATTCAGCTGGTAAAAAAGGCTAAGCCTGACAAGCTGAGTTGGATACTTGATCACGTGGGAGGAGAGAGCTGACTCAAAGGCTCAGGTGTCTGCATGGACTGCGGATGTCGATGTCGATCTTAGTGTATAGCTTAACATGAGCAAGGGCTCTAGGACCAGAAATGAGAAACTTGGTGAAACGCAGTTTCAGTTGTGCTGGTCAAGGTTTCAGTGAACCGAAGATGTATTTCACTTTTGTGATTGCATTTTACATAGGGTACTAACTCTAATGAATTTTTTTTTAAGTTGAAAAAACTTTAAAATTCCCACTGAGACTATCATGAACAAAACAAAACAAAACTAAATGAAACTGCTAAATTTGGAAACTCTTAATTCAAATCTTTATCATCTGAGGAAACGAGGAAGTTAGTAGTAGTAGACACGCTGTGCGTGTGTGTGTGTGTGTGTGTGTGTGTGTGTGTTTTTCCATACAGGGTTTCTCTGTGTAACAGCTTTGGTAGTCCTGGAGCTCATCACTCTCTAGACCAGGCTGTCCTCAGAGAGATCTGCCTGTGTCTGCCTCCAGAGTGCAGGGATTAAAGGCGTGTGCCGCCATACCTAGCAATATACATTTTTAATGAACAAAAATTTAAAAGTTGCTGATTAGTATGTTATAGTTATTTAACTTTTAATAACTTTAATAATAGTTATTTAACTTTTAATAACTATTTATAGTTATTTATACTTCACAGAAAGGATACTATGATGAATATCATTAACTCCCTTTGTGGGATGGTCTTTGTTGACTTGGTAATTCTTCAACACACAGAGTTGATTGTTATTTGTCCTATAAATGAAAGTGACTAGCGCTGTATAATTCAAAATAATGTATTTTATAATAGTTGATTTTTTTCTATGACTTTTATGACGTTTGTCCTTCTTAGAGTTCTCTGAATAACCTCAACTGTTGGTAATGAACTTAGATGATAGAAACCCATATCAGTAAAATTATTAGAATTCTGTTAACCCTTTTGAAGCTTAGACTTTTTAATGTGTCTACATGCATCAGTGAAAATTCTTTGGCTTTGTATTTACAGAAATTTTGTTTATTACTGTAATTCTAGTTAGTAATGAAGCATTATTCTCTGTCATTTTTGCTTTTTTACTCTTTGGCAGTTTGATTTTTATAATAAATCTCAATCATTTTCGCCTCTCATTCTCCCTCTCTCCCATTGGCAGTCTTCTCAGAATCCCTACTACTTTTATGTCTCTCTGTGTGTGTGGCCTCCATGAGTTTCATTATAGTTCTTTGACTGAGAATGGGGTGGGAATTTATTCACTGGAGCAAGGGCAATTTAGAGTACTGTGGGTCTTTTCTGTTTGGGAATAGGGTGATATGAATTTTTGATTTATTCTTTTCCTGTAGGAGTAAATAAAAAGACATTGTTATTTTAATGTAGTGGCTCTCTCCCTTAGCTCCTGCAGCTCAGGCTAAACACCCACTGTGCTCTCCCTCCTCCCTACTGCCTTTTGGAGGGAGAGGATCTCACCACATAGCCCTCTGAGATTAAAGGTGTGAAGCACCACACCTAACCTTTTTTCTTTTTTTCTCTTCCTCCTCTTTCATAGGTTCTTGCTCTGTAACCCAGGCCTCCCAACTGCTGCGATTACAGGTGTGTATCATCATTTGTGGCTAATGTTCTTGTTCTCAAATTTCAGAATTCATTTGTCCTCCTAAAGATCATGTAGGATTCTGTCTTAGGGTTTCTACTGCTGTGAAGGGACACCAGAGGTTTAGTTAATTATCATCATGGCAGGACATGGCCCATGCTGTTCTGGTAGCCACTGGTGCTGGAGAAGGAGCCAAGAGTCTTGACCCATAAGCATCAGGAAGTGGTCTGAGACACTGAGCATGGCTTGAGCATATATGAGACCTCAAATCCCACCTCCATAGTGACACACTTCCTCCAACAAGGCCATACCTACTTCAACAAAGCTACACCTATTAGTGCCACTCCCTTTGAGTTTATGGGGCAACAAATTACCACAGATTCTAAATAGCTTTTTGTTTGTCTTCATTTGTTTTGTTTTGTTTTTCTGATACAGGGTTTCTCTGTATAGCTCTGACTGTCCTGAAATTGCTCTTGAGTAGATCAGGCTGACCTCAAACGTCTGAGATTCGCCTGTCTCTGGCTCCTGAGTGCTGGGATTAAAAGGGCAGTTGCCACTGCCCAGCTCTTATGTAGGATTAAGAAGCTTTTGATGATATTGTTATATATGTTATAGTTATTGTGTTATAAATAATCATCTTCAAATATATCAATGCCTGAATTAAAAGTTAACTAATATAAAGTGCTGGAGAGATGACTCAGTGATTAAGAACACTTTCTTACTCTTTTAGAGAACCTAGGTTCAGTTCCCACTGTCCACATGGTAGTTTACAGTCATTCCTAATTCTAATTACAGGGGATCTGTTACCCTCTTTTGACCTTCATAGACACATACATATGGTGGGCAAACATACATACAGGCAAAACACTCATACATATCCAGTAAGTAAATCTAAAAATAGATAATATAAGTAGCATCTTTAATGATACATAACAATATGCCAAATTAGCTTGCCAAAGAAGGTAGTTGTATTACATTTTGTAATTTAGTGTTTGGCTTAATAGAATACAACTGGATTGTTTTATGAGCTCTATCAGTTGCTGTTTTCTGGTCAAAGTACACGAAGAAAAAATTCCAACTTCATAGTACTATGTTGAGAGGGAAATTTAATAATTTTTAGAAGTGGTGGTGGTGCACGCCTTTAATCCCAGCACTCAGGAGGCAGAGGAGGCGAATCTCTGTAAATTCCAAGCCATCCTGGTCTACAAGAGCTAGCTCCAGGGCAGGCTCCAAAGGCACAGAGAAACCTTGTCTCGAAAAACCAAAAAAAAAAAACCAAAAAAAAAAATTAGATAATTGTGATTGTCTAACAAATCAGTAAGTGAGTACTACTCTGCCTATACTCAATTGTAAAATCATTGGTCTCTTTTTATCTTTACCTTTTTTTTTTTTTTGGAGTGAGGTGGTGTCAAGCTGGCTTGTCCTTGAACTCTTAGGCTCAAAGGGATCCTTTTGTCTCAGCTTCCTTGAGTAGTTGGAACTATAGGGAACCCTGCAATTTTTTGTCTTTTTATTTTGTGCTTGGGATGGAACCTAAGACCTGATACGTGCCAGGCAAATGATTTTCTATTGAGTTGCATCTCTAGAACAGTGTATTTTCTCTGTGTAGTGTGTATAACATGTTGATTTATAGTCATCTTTTTGTTGTTTTGTTTTTGAAGGTAGGGTTTCTCTATGTAATAGCTCTGGCTCACCTAGAACTCACTTTGTCGAAAGTGCTAGACTTGACCTCACAGAGGTCCACCTGCCCCTGCCTCCCAGGGTTTAAAGGTGTGCACCATCACTGTTCAGGAATTTGTAGCATCTTAAAAATGTATATTTAGCTGGGCAGTGGTGGTGCACACCTTTATTTCCAAAACTCAGGAGGCAGAGACAGATGGATCTCTGAGTTCGAGGTCAGTCTGGTCTACAAGAGTGAGTTGCAGGACAAGCTCCAAGCTATAGAGAAACTCTGTCTCAAAAAACAAAACAAAAAAAACCAAAAAAACAAAAAAATTAACAGTTTATGTACCTACTGTTTTTAAAGGCTGTCAAAATTCTATCTTGGAAACCAGGTGTGATACACATTTGTAATCTTCACACTTGGGAGGTGGAGTTCAGTCTGGGTTACATAGCAACCCCATCTCAAAAGTCTGACTTGACTTTTTTTGTTGCTTTTCTTGAGTATTTTAGAACTGTTTTGAATATTTTTGCTTACATAAATGCTTCTTTTGTTCTTGTGGTTAACTTTTTATGAGGTACTAAATTCTTGATCCTCATGTGTTGTAGGAGGCCACTTGTTTGTTCCCGACTGCTCAGCCCCAAAATAATCACACAGAAACTGTATTAATTAAATGACTGCTTAGCCTATTAGCTCTAGCTTCTTATTGGCTAGCTCTCACGTCTTAATTCAACCCATTTTTTTAAATCTATATTACCACGAGGTTGTGACTTACCGGCCAGGTTCCTACTTGTCTGTTCCCAGGGGCAGCTACATGGTGTATCTATGACTCCGCCTTCTTTCTCCCAGTATTCAGTTTAGTTTTCCCCACCTACCTCTATTCTGCCCTGCGCAGGCTCAGGACAGTTTCTTTATTAACAATAGTGTTCACAGCATACAGAGGTGAATCCCACATCACTCATGAATGGGTGGAGAAAGGGCATGGTATCATAATTGGCTGATAATTGTTTAAACTGACATTATGATATCAGTTCTGTGAATACAACTTAGTGGTAGTGTTTGCCTACCCACGTTTTTGTTTTTTTGTTATTAGAGGTGTGTGCATGATGTGTATGTAGGTATGGAGTCAGTTTCTTCCACTTTTATGTGGGTTTCAGGTACCCCGACTTGTGACAAATATCTCTACTTGCTGAACCATCTAGCCAGCCCTTGCCAGGCATTTTTTTGAACATGAGAGAAACTTAAGTTACCTTAAATTATGGGAGTTAATTGGAATGTTACACAAAAAAACGAAGAGATGACTGCAGAGTGAGAGCTTGTAAGGGAAAAGAACAGAAACTACTTAACATTAGGATTTATCAGAAAACACACCAAGCCCTGTAAACCTAAAAGTAGTTCAGAACTCACATAGTTGTGGAGTACCACAGTATATCTTTGGGAATTGGTTTATCTTACTTCAATTCCTTGGTAAGTGTTCTGTAACTGCTAATCTTGTGTGTCTCAACTAGGTGAATTTGCCTTTTGGAACACTTGGCAGTATCTGGAGGTATTTTGTCAATGTTGGGGAAAAGGGTGCTATTGACTTCTAGTGGGTATAGGCCATGAATACTGCTTCTAAACATTTTCTGTTCACACAGGCAGCTCTTCATTACACGTCCTTTATCTGCTCATTTAATAGTGATGAAGTTGATAAACCCTGCATTATTATTGACTATCTAATGACTGCTCTGGTGTCAGAAACCCACTCTTAAATTTGTTTTGTTTATTTGTATGTGTGTAATGTATGTGGAAGAGGACAAGGTATGGGAGTCAGTGCTCTTCTTCCACCATTTGGGTTCTGGGGATTGAAATAGGGTGATCAGGCCTGGCAGCAGCACCTTTGCCCTCTTGAGCCACATCACTGGCCTCTGGAACTCACTCTAGGATAGGCAGGTGTGCACTATGGTTAACTTTGTGAGCTGCTTAAGACCTTTGGTTTTTTAAAAGTGGGTGATTGTGGGCTATAAAGACTTTAAAAAAAATCACACAGTTCTGGGGATTGGACACAGATGTGTCTTTGGAGGAATACCTGTTAACCTAGAACCAAAGAGACTTGAAGGAAAGGAATGGGTTGAAGAACTAGATTAGTTTGTTTCTGTTTTAAAATTTTTGTGGGTGTTTTTGCCTGTATGTGTGTTTTGCGTGTATGTGTGTGCACCTTGGAGGCAAGTTTCCTAATTGGTAGACTCACCTTTAGCTGTGGTCTCTCCTTACCTGCCTTCAGCTGTGGTCTCTTCCCTGTTTCAGCGTTTTGTCTCAAAATAGCAACAGTGACCTTTTACATTTTAAATCAAGTTCTATAGTTTCTTGCTCAACTCCTCCCCCTTACCCTGAGGAAACAGGGTGTGTGGTGGCACACACCTGTAATTCTAACACTGAAAAAGGTGAGGGAGGAACATGAAGAATACAAATCCCATGTATACATTTGTCAGAAATAAAAGACTCCAGCATTGAGACACTAAGGCAGGGGGATTTGACAAATTTGAAACTAGCCTGGAATATTTAGTTTATAAAGTTACTTAAATTTTAACTGTATGCATGTTTTGCTCCCATGTATGTCTTTGTACCAAATGTGTCCCATGTGCCTTCTGAGGCTAAAAGAGAAGGTATCCAATTCCCTGGAACTAGAGTTAAAGGTGGTTGTGTGCTGGAGTCCAGCTCCAGTGGATTTCAGGCCCCAAAGAGGAGGTGTGGAGTAGGCAAACGGAAGAAGGAAACTGACTCGATCTGAGGGTCAGATAAGTTGGGGTGGCTGCTGCTTTATTGAAAAAAAGCTACACCTTTTATACTCTATAATTGCACAAAGGATCAGAAAGGGGGATTGTGAGCTGGGATGGGGCTTGTAAGCAGCCACCTAGGAAGCTAACATCTACCCTGACACAATCATTTTAATGAGGGGTCATAAGTTCCTCTTGCCAGAGATAAGGCAAGCAGCAATTTACTTCAAGCTCCTGAGGAAATGGGGCAATTGTTTAAATGCCTGACCTTGCAAAAAGGACTCTCTTCAGGGGACCAGGCACTCCATTATAGAATATTGCATTTTTTATATGGTTTAGTTTATCTAAATAGCTAAAGTGAGCAAAGATGAAGCTAGAGAAGTATTGCTGTGAACCTGAGTAGACCTTTTGAATTTATAAATCTTGATTATCAAGTATATCTTATTTAGCAAATATACCTTATTTGTCAAGCATGTGTTACCTATCTACATTTTCTAGCAGTTTTATCATGCGTACCACTATGGCTTGGAATTTTTTTCCAAGGAATTATTTTGTTTAAAGAGGCTGTCATTGTATATATCCTCAT